TAGGAACTATATTTTTTTCATATTAATATGAGTGCATTGACACACTAGTATGATAATTTGAAGAGAAAATTTTACCAAGATCCATGATGACCGAAGACGAGAAGTAACTATTTATACATACTACATATTTTAAAACTTTTGTAACAAAGTTTTCTGGTGATAGATCTATCGGTAGCCGTAATAAAGACCAGTAAAATTTATGTAACTAATCATCTCTTAATTATACTAACATAAAAAAATGAATAAGAAACAAACATGAATGACGCTTATTGATTTGCTATTTTCATTGTATTAATATCTAGTGACATGCAAGCAAAGTGGTTAAAGTTGGAGTGGACCATTTTGTTATGGATACCAAAGTTTAGTGATCATTAATTAAGGTTTTTTTTTTTTTACTGAATCGAAGCCCCCGTCGTTTTCGGGTCTTAAACTAACATTGACCGTAAATTAATTAAAGGGATATATGAATTAGCCGTTATTTTAATACCAGTATTGTTTTGTTTGTTTGTTTGTTTGGGTGGTTATTGTGCAACACATGAACCACGTGAAGCCACATTTCTTAATTACGAAATTCCCAAACTACTGGACTCCCCCTTTTTTTTTTTCTTTCATTACAATAAAGAAAAAGATCGCGTATGATATTTTGGTTCCCATTTGTGTTCGGTTGTTTTCCGTTTTGTCTTCTCCAAACGCGCCATCACTAGCTACAAAGATTGCTCACTATTTGGATCAGTCTCAAAATGCACAGGAAATAACCCAATTATCCAACCAATGAGCTACTCCAGATTGGCCTAACTTTATGTTTTCCAATAAATCTCATGTTTGAGGTATCGTTTTTTTTGTTTTCCGTCAGCTGGAGTATTTGTACAATCATGTATTAGTTGCCTACAGTTTGGTTCGGTATGGTATAGTGCTTTCTTTTGTATAAAAAAAAGAGCCTTTTTATTCCATCCAAAACAAGGGAAACAAGTTCATTACAATACTACTAGTAATTAAAACACAATCCACTGGTAATTAACGAACCCTTCCTAGCTTGACAAGCCGCCCAATCCGCAAGCTTATTAAAACGTCAAGGAACAAACTCGACAGAAATCCATGGTGCCGACTGAACATTGTATGTGATAATCAAAACGGTAATTATAGTCCAACCCATGAAGCCACTTGCCCAGTTTAGAGGGTAGGTGATCATCAGGCCACCGAAAATGCAAAGCAAACTCAATAAGTTACCTTAATAATCATTAAAAAAATGCACATGGCTTGCCCACCATGCTATATATATGTTGTATTATATTGGCAATATCGGAAAAAACCATACGATTTTTTTATCACAGACGTGTAGTTGGTAAGAAGAAACCATTTATCTATGCTTCTTAAAAAAAAAAATTTGACGAGCAATTTTCCCTCCAAAATTGTTGGAATTATTTGATAAGTCATTAGTCCAATATCGGTCGATAATTATATTGGAATTTTAGTTGAAAGGGGCGTTTGATTGAAAGCAAAATGACAAGGGGAATAGGTTAGGGAAAACTCAACTTTTAGAGTGGGCGCACCAAAATTGAATGGGAATGTTAGCATAAGAGGACAATACCGGAATAATCTTATCACTATTAACATTAATCTTTTTTATTAATTTCTCACTAAACCGCCGTCACTATAGAATGTATTTGAAAGTAATATCATATATGAGCTGTGAGCCAATACCAATCACTTTATACATCTTGAATTACATGTCATTATGATTGAGCAGGTGACCATAACAATAAAAAAAAAAAATCACAACTTCAGCAAATACGATCCCTCGTAACCATTTACAAGTAATTTATTATCTAACATTCTCGAATTCGGAAACACTTTAATATATTTGTTAGATAAGTATGACATGTCCGTTTTATCATTTAACAAAAAAAATATATATATATACTCAACTCGTAGCAACTTCATTACTGAGAATGTTGTTACATCATCTAGTCGTTTGTTGGTCGATAAGCACTCCAAAACAAGTGGGCCTATTGATCCACACTTTTTTTTTGGCTATCGTATTAGTCCTTCTTTGTGCCATTGCATAAGAATACGTTGCCGTGTTGGCATCCATCTCGACATGTTGTCCCAATGTCAGGAGCACGAATGTGTTGCTCTTAACCGTAGCAAATCATCTCGATTTTGTTTTTAACTTTCGAACACGAGCCGCGGTCAATCCATTTAACAAAACATGATTGTTTTAACTCTATATGAAAAATCCGTCACGAAACTCTTCACCATCTCAGGTTCTCAATCTTACAAACGCGAGGAAGAATCGCAAACATTTCATTGGGTCTTCTTTTTAATATGTTTTTTTAGTATGAAGATATAGGAAAGCAAGAAAGAAAAAGGGAGCAAGAAATTGTCTGAAAGGGGGGAAAGAAGGAAGGTGAAAAAGGGGAAGATTCCTCTGCTTTCATTTGCCCATATTGACACAACCAATTGAAAGTGCAATGGATTAGGGTTCATTCAATCTTTAGCCCAAAAAGGAGCAAAGAACAAATAACAAACGAGGGAGAAGGCATCGGTTTGTGCTTGCCAATTTCAGGCATAATGCTGAGGGTAATCAAATAGGGTTTGTACACCTCGTAGAAGAAATTACCATGTTTGGCAATCCTTCTTTTTTACAGTTCATTTGGCTGATGGCAATTTTTGGGTAAGGCCCATATAAATTACTTTCATTATTATTTGTCATGTGGTATCTCTCTCACTACACTCTAGTTCCATCAAAATTTAGGGCATATGAAAATTGGATGAAAATTACATTTTATTTGATTTCGTTGTGTATGGTATGTTTAAATGTAACCGCATGTATGCTTTTTTCGCAACAAAAAAAATATAATTTTGGTTGGAGTGGGAGGGGCAAGGGAAAGTCAAAATTGAAATTTGGGACCTTCAAGTTGAAAAATCAACAGTGACATTGCTAGAACAAATTTTTGTTCTAGGCAAAATTGAGTTGAACTGTTTTCGATCCCGTACAATTTTATTCTTGCCAATAAATTGACTCGTTTGATATTAATTTGGTCAAACATTAATTTCGTTATTCTTGGAGTCTGGTTTTTGTTTGTAGTCATTTTTCTTTTTATTTTGAAATATGTCTTTTTTTATTTCTCGATAGCACGAGCGATCTTTCACGATAATCCTTGTGGCCATGGTTCACGCTCCTTATCTCATGATCATCCGCAGAGAAAGATCCCCTTTCGGCCATTTTATAGATTTTTTTTTTAATTATTATTACTGTTTCCTTGATATATTGTTATGTTGGTCTTAGTATTAAAAACTCATCATTGGGTCAAATAACAGATTAACAACTCCCCCTAAGATTTTCGTCAAAGTACAGATTACCAACACATAATTGATTGACATTTCTCTAATGGGAAACCGCCTGTACATGCAGTTCGACTTAAAAAAAAAAAATTCTCATCGAATCTAAAGTCTAAACAGATAGTTGATTTTTTCCAGCAACCTCTAATGCGGTTTACAATTTTTGGACAATACATTACCATTTTGGAAAAACAATTCAGTCATCCATATTTATAATTCTAATATAAAAAATGTATCAGTTAATCAGAATTAAATATCGACGATACCAATACGTATAATACCGCCCTATGGTATAATTATACGGTTGTTGTCCAAAAAAAAGCAGGTCGGTGACTTTGAAAATCAGACGGAAAAAATATATTCAAAACTAAAAAAAAATGGTGTGAGGCTGTTCTCGTTTTTCAGGCGTTGGATCAGCCACCGTGACGTCACTCTCCACCACCAGCAGCCCGAGCCTCTTCGCATCCCACGGCCCGTAGTGCGTATCCGGCGCGAGAATAAAATACTTCCGGCAGCACCCAATCCGCGCCTCCTTTCCCCCCTTTTTTTTCACCCGGACCCACCAGAAAATACTTCTGTTTCTTTCTTTTCTTATTAATTTTCTCTTTTTATTTTGAAACATGCGTTAAAGAAAGAGAGAGAGAAGAATGTGCATCACAAGTGTGGATGGAAGCACATCCCTTTGGCAGTGGGACCCACCCCTTCCTCTCTTCCCCGACAATGACGATCATGATTCTTACTTACTGTGGGTTTAAAAAAAATGTGTATGTATCAATGTATGTATTCTACGTTACAAATTTCGTGTGCATACAATACGTTTATTGTCGTTCAATTATTAACAAATACTTAAAGGTACAATTCGAAATTCACGTATCGACATCTGATAAGTTTTTTTACAATAATTTACAGATGAGTACTATATGTGTAAGATACTCTCGAAATTGGAGTTGTGCCTTAAGGAGTTAGTAAGAGATACATTAGCGAAATATTAGATATTTTAATTTAAGTGGTAAGGATACGAATGCACATATCTAAGCTTTGTGCAACACACGTAATGCACTTCATTGACGTGTGGTTCTAGTTGATCGATCTGGATGTTTTTTTATGATGGTTTTGTGTTCCTCTTTAGTTCATTTTTTTAACTTTAGTTACTTGAACACGATATTGTAGCGTAAAATCCATGGCCGTATCATAAACATGGGCTTGCCGAGAGTAACTTTGTTAACAAATATATTAATGATAATAATTGTTAACTAAAAATAGGTGCTGACTATTTTGTATTGATTTGAAGATCGAAAATTTTTAAGTACATATTTTGTATTGTAATATTAATGAGAAGTCTGCTCTTTGAAAAAAAAAGTTTCCGCGTTTGTTCAATTTTTACCTGATATATGAGAAATACATTGCGGTAAAAAATGAAGATTGAAAGAAATAATAAATTGTATCACATTTTAATTTAATTAATTAGTTTTTCTTGCTAATGTCTTTATTACGCGGAAATAAATGTTCAAAGAATTTCTTTTCTTTTCTTTTTTTCTTTTTCTTTCTTGCTTGCTCTAATTACTTAACCGGTGGGTTTAATCGTGTAATTAAATGCGTGTGTTTTCCAATTTTCTCGAGCTAATCTCTTACTTTTTCCCCCTTTTGGTTTAGCTTTTTTTTCTTTCTTTCAGCCTTTGTCTTTCTCTTCCTGCTTTGCTTCCACAACAGCAGTTTTTCTTTTCTTTTCTTCTTCGATTTGTCGATCTAGCCATTTGGTCTCTCTCGATCTTTCTTTTTTTTCGCTTCTTCAATGGCCACTAAAGATGCTAGAGCGAGAGAGTGGTGGGAGGTGAGAGAGAGCACAATCAAAAGGCAAAGTTGAGAGTAGTGACTTTGATAGTGAATGAATTGTGCTCCGTTTTCCTTTTCTATTCTCCTCCTCCCCTGCCCTTACTGATTGTTGTTGAAGGAAGAAGTCTGCTACTTTGAAATTCGAAGCGAAGCTCTGTTCCTTGTTCTGTTCTGGGTTTTCATTGTTCCGATTGCTGTTCGTTGTTCGGTGGTGGGGAAAGATTGGGAGAAAAGGGTTTCTTGAATTCGGGTTTGTGGTTAGTGGTGGTGGGTCGGGTTTGATTTGGCCGGATTTGATATGGGTGGGTGCTTTCCTTGTTTCGGATCATCGAACAAGGACGGCAGCAGCAACGGCGGCGGCGGCGGAGCTGGAAGTGGCGGCAAAGAAGCTGTGAAGAAAGACTTGGTGAAGGAAGCCTCAGTTCCTCAGTCTCACCATGTTAGTCGGGTCGGTTCAGGTACCAAACAAGAGTTCACTTCTTTCTTTTTACACTGAGAAATTCTCTCTGTTTGATCTGATTTCATCAACTGGGTTGCTTTTGTGGAAGGGAATTTTGGGTTCTTGGATGAATCCGTTTGAGATTTGGTTTACTTTTCTCATGGGTGTGCCTTTTGATTCTGCTCTGGAGATCTGCTCTGTAGTATCTTTGTTTCTGTTTTGCTAGAAGGATTCCTCTTGGTTTGTGTTTCATTCTCAATTATCGGCTCTCTCCTTGTTTTATATGACCATTCTGTTCAAGATAAAAAAAAAAATTGGGTCTGTTTCATTTGCATTTTGGACAAAGTGCTTTGGTTTCTGCTCGGCAGATGGAGGAATATGCTAAGAGAGAGAACTTCCTTTTTTGTCTTGTGTTAGTTGTCTTTGCAAGAATGTGAATTCTGGTCAATAGGGTTTTCCAAGAAATGCTGGATGTTAGAGGAGTACAAAGATCACAGTATTCTTCATGCTGGTGGCACCTTGTTGTTCTTTTACAATGTGGCAGAATGTTTTCCTTTTGATTGGTTTTTCGCATCTTAGTTACATACGAATTTTGTTTCGTGTAGACAAATCGAAATCTCGGGGTGGTTCTGAGTCTAAGAAAGAGCCGGCAATCCCGAAAGATGGGTCGACAGCTCACATTGCAGCTCAAACGTTCACATTCCGTGAGCTAGCTGCTGCCACCAAGAACTTTAGAGCCGAGTGCTTGTTGGGCGAAGGAGGGTTTGGGCGGGTGTACAAAGGCCGACTGGAAAGCAGTGGACAGGTGAGAGTTTGTGTCTTATTTCAGCTTGTGGGTGCTGCATTTTCAGTTCCCTTAGAAATGCTGTTTGTCTGTTGATTCGATTCATCTATTGTTTCTTAATTATTGCTTGCTGCAGGTAGTAGCAGTGAAACAACTTGATCGCAATGGGCTTCAAGGAAATAGGGAGTTTTTGGTTGAAGTTCTTATGCTTAGTCTCCTTCACCATCCAAATCTTGTAAATTTAATTGGTTATTGCGCTGACGGGGATCAAAGGCTTCTTGTATATGAATACATGCCCTTGGGTTCATTGGAAGATCATCTACACGGTTAGGATTTCGCCTTCTTTATATTCATTGAATCTTGTACTGTTTCTCTTCTTCAGTCATTACAGTACATGTAATTAGAGTTGAGTTTTTTCACCTTTTTTTCAGTTCTGACTTACTGTGCCAAGTCTCTTATATATATGTTAAAAAAAACTTACCGTGCCAAGTCTCTGCCTCGTTCGTCCTTCCATCAGTCCAAATCTTACGGTTTCTCTAGCAAGTAGAGTAAATCTTGACATACGTCAGCAACTAGCTCATAATGCCTTTTCTGATTATATATAGAGTTTTCCACACTTATGGCTGAACCCATTGGTAAAATGTAGAGTTTTATGTTTATAAAGTCTACTCATTTGCCAGCATATTGATGCTCTGTTTGATCAACTAGAAGGCCTGCCATAGCGCCAATGTGATTCTGTGTAAATTAGGATTTTGATTAGAGAATGCTGAAACTTTTTGTAAGCTAGGTTGATATTTATTGCTATAGTGTATGTAGAGGCCAAAAACTTATGGCAGATTATAGCAACATTCTTTAGAGTCTACTGTGTGAATCATGTTGCAGACACTGCTGTAGATGATTTCCTTTGCGGGCAAACTAAATAACCCAGGTTTCTATTTTTATTCTCTTCAGACCTTCCAGCAGACAAAGAGCCCCTGGACTGGAACACGAGAATGAAGATAGCAGCAGGCGCAGCCAAAGGGTTGGAATACCTGCACGACAAAGCCAACCCTCCAGTCATCTACCGAGACTTAAAATCATCGAACATACTCCTTGACGAGGGATTCCACCCGAAGCTGTCGGATTTTGGGCTAGCAAAGTTGGGTCCTGTCGGCGACAAGACTCACGTCTCTACTCGTGTCATGGGGACTTATGGTTACTGTGCTCCTGAATATGCCATGACTGGACAGCTCACATTGAAATCCGATGTTTACAGCTTTGGGGTCGTGTTTCTCGAGCTCATCACCGGGCGCAAGGCCATCGACAACACCAGAGCCCCTGGAGAACACAATCTCGTTGCATGGGTAAACTTTTTTCTTTCCAATCATTTATAATAGCATACTCAAACATTTCTATTTGACTTGATAACTTATGGGCTGTTTTTTATTTCTTAGGCGAGGCCGCTTTTCAAGGATCGAAGGAAGTTTCCGAAGATGGCAGATCCATTACTCCAGGGGCGGTATCCAATGCGAGGGCTATACCAAGCACTGGCAGTCTCAGCAATGTGCTTGCAAGAGCAATCTGCTACAAGGCCACTGATAGGAGATGTGGTAACTGCATTGACATATCTAGCGTCCCAAACCTACGACCCGAGCGGCCCAACAAGTCAGAGTAACCGAGGGGGACCATCTACACCGAGGAGCAGGGGAGACGGGACTGACAGCCCGGATGGTCGTCTTGGTTCGCCCTCTGTTCACAGGAATTCGCCCGACTACAGAAAGAGAGACCGCCACAGGGAGTTGGGCACAGGTCCAGAGTTGGGTTTTGGTGAATCGGGCAGTGGTGGAGGTTCCGGTAGGAGAAGGGGTGGTAGTGGTGTGGATGAGTTAGAGCGGCAGGACTCTCGGAGGGACAGTCCAGTGCACGGCGCCAGCAGAATGAGGGAAGGCTCGAGGAACCGGGATTTGGACAGGGAGAGAGCGGTGGCCGAGGCGAAGGTTTGGGGCGAGAACTGGAGGGAAAAGAAGCGGGCGAATGCCGCGGGTGGTAGCTTCGATGCTGGTAATAGTAGTAACGAGTGAAGGAAGTAGGAATCACACTGTTGCAAAACGTTGCACAGGATGAAGGGGAAAAGATGCTGAATGTTGTGAAATCCTTACTGTGAGAGGAATCACAGCGGAGCTGGTGAACCATCCTTGTATGGAGTCAAGTCAGTTGGTCGGTCGGTCGAGGGAAAGTGAGGTAAAGGAGAAGTGGTCAATCTTTGTATCCAACTTTTGACTGATGATGATGTTGTAATTGGGTTCTAGTAGTAGTCTTTTGTTGAGAGAATGAAAACCGAATCGCAGGCCGTGAATGCTTCAATTTCTTGTGGTTGAAGGAATGCAAAGATGGATACAGAGGGAGTGTGATAGAAAAGAGAAGGCGAGGTTTGACGAAGTGGGTCATTGTAGGTGGTCGATGCTTATGTTGATGAGGTTCAGAGCATTTGTTGGAAAAGGAAAAAAAGAACGTGTCCTTTTTAGTTGTAGAATATGATGTATGTAATTGTGATCTTTTTGTGTATTTAGGGGTCTTCTTCCTTTTGTCTCTTCTATTCTTCCTATTTGTTTTGGTTATGCAAATGCCAAGGAGATAAGGGAAAATGGGATCTCTATTAGGAGGAACTCTCGAGCCCCCTCAGCTCCATCCATGGCGGGCAATCGAAATGATTATCCTTCCAAAATCCCAGAAACAACGAAGAAACCAAACACCTATAACCTTTCAAAATCCCAGAAACAACAAAGAAATCAAACATCTGTAACACATTCAGAGAAGTTATTTGCCACGGAATGCTGTCGAATCTTTCCTAGCTGTCGAATCCTTTGGAACGTCATGACTCGTGAGGAAGAAATCTTTTGGGATGGCCCTTTTCGCATTCATCTTCACAGCAGAGGGTCGTGGAATGGGGGAGAGTAGAACATTTTAATGATGCACAGTTGCTATGGAGAACAGAGTTGTCTGCAAATTGGGATCCCAATTCCTAAATCATAATAATTTGAAGTTAATCTAATAATATTCAGGATTACAGACAGGAGGCACGATCTAAAACCTGATTGTAATCATTACACGCTTTCGTTCATGTCTAGTACCGGTTGCAGACAGCAACTAATGGTCTGATTAGTTTACATTTGGGATGCAGGGACTGATAATGCCTTGAACAACATGAGTATACTCCGACTAGTACGAAGAATCTGGGGCTTTCCTGTACATAATTTCTAAAAAATCAGCCCTGGTGGAAGTTCATCTAACAATGTCAAGGAGGACACAAGCACCAAGGCTACTCCTCGCCGAAAGTCTCTAGTGGAGCAATGCGCTTTGTTTCGCTACTTCCTCCTCTTTCCCTGCATCAAAACCGATTGATCAGATGTGTGTAATCCCAGTGTACCGTCTCCCATACAAATCAGTATCTAGGTGTCCGAATCTTGTATCAAGGTGGCGTGGTGGGATGAAAAGCTTACCGAGGTCAGGTAATCATCCATGGAGAGTTGTTTGCGTTTCTTGAGGGAGCTGGGGCTCTCAGTTTGCCTCGAGCCGCCGCCACCACCACGCTTAGATGGGGTCATACTCTGCTGCAAGGAGACAATACAGGGGAAACGTCAGTGGGGAAACAAGTGTCTAGTGGTTTGGTGAATGACAGAAGATTTAAGAGGGGAAAAGACCTTGGCAAGCTTCTTCTCTTTACGAGCCTGCCTTTCCCTCTCATCATATTCCTGATTTTCCTTCTCCACCAATCGGATTAGGGTATCGCATCTCCTAGCCAGTTCCTGAGTCGTTCGCGACTTGACAAACCAGTCAAACCGAAACAGAGGTGATGTACGGAATGCTGCCTTGAGCTCGTCCCAATTCCCATATCCAAGTTTGTGGACCATGCATATCTGTTAAGAATTGTCAAAACAACAGTCGGTGTGACTAGTGAGCTCAGTATCAAGTACAGACAGCAGACAACAGGATTGGAGAAGCAACAAAGTAAGAGAAGTACGCACCATGAAACGATCACATTCTTCATTGTACAACTTCCCTTTGTTTTGACCATACTGGATTTTCAACTCGAGCCATGGGTTCTTGTAGCGATCCAATTTCTTCCCGATAGCTTTCATTATCTCGTCTTTACGAGAAATTCTGGCCTCTCCTCTTTCAATATTCTTGATGATTCTGTCATAATCTGCAAATACAACCCAATTTCAAAGGTGATGGTTGACTTCGACATGCAAACTTTCAGCCTAGTACAAATTCAAGGAATGTGAAAACTGAGGGGCATCCTTTATCTCACGCATTGCATAAAATAAGAGGGTGCCTAGTTTGAATAAACGTACCGTTCAATTCTTTGAATCTTTCCTTGAAAGATTTTGCATATCTTTCAACCTCTTCCTCTGTCTTGCCTTCCATTTCAGAAGCAATGCTTTTTATGTCATTTCTGCCATACTTCTCACAAGCCCTAATGAAAGTATTGAAGTCCCTTCTACTCCACGAAGAGAATCCCTGGTTTACAGCTTCAAGGTAAGTGAACAGACACAAAAATAGAGCTTCGCTACAGGTCAAATCTACCAACCTCTTCCAACAGCTTCTCCTTCTCTTCTAGCTCTTCAGCAGTCAATGGTTCTCCAACATCTGACCAGCATCCAGTAAAAATGTATAATAAATGAAAACTGAACACAAGTCCACTAGAATAACTAGGAAAAGCTTAACAAGCAACATAAGCCATACCTTCAGGTTCATCTACCTCAATTGTGTCTTTCAACTGATTCTTTTGATGAGTTTGCTGGCAAATCCACCAGGGATAGTTAAGATATAAACTTGAGAAGGCCTTAAGATAAAGAAAAGATGGGAAAAAGTACCGAAACTAATGGAACAGAGACAATACCCACCATGAGATAGCGCACTTCTTTTTCATACAACTCATTCAACCTCTGTGTGTTGAAAAACTGGAAATCATGCCTGAAAATGGAAAATGAACAGTAAAACAGAGAGCAAAATATTCAAAAGAAGTGCACCATGAGAGAAGGCTGCAGGAGCTTACAATTGTGGCATGCGAGGAATCCGAGGCTCCTTTGGTTTGGATGGACCACCTTGGCGCATTGTTTGCTTGAAGTATTCAGATTCTGAGTAACTGAGTAAAGGAAAAAGATATAAGAAAAGAACTACATCCAAAACCACTCAGATGCATCAAAACGGCAAGAGAGGAAAATATCAGTACTTGCGCTTCCGCTCTCTTTTTGGAGGTTCTATCCAGTTGTCACTGACAATTTTCTTGAAATCAACCTTGTTCTCATCCTTCATTAAGAAATCATGATAAAGGAAATAGAGTCAGAAAAGTCCTGGACATAATTCAAGAAATTGGAAACAACAATGTCCCCCGCTTCAATCATAAGAAAAGGAGATGAATGTACCTTGTCGTCATCAAAATCATACAATTCAGCAGCTGTCACAATGAACAAAGACACGCTCAGCAGTTTAGCAGAAATGAAGTTAATGAAACCAACAAAAACAAATTTCTTTATGAACATACTGTCATCCATCTTGAATTTTATGGCATCCTCGGTGAACTTCTTCATCTTAGCATCAAGCTCAGCTGTTGCTTCTTCTCCTTTAGCAATGATTCTGTCGATGTCCTCATCCGTAATTGTACTGTCCTTTGAGCTGAAAACCATTTCAGCACCAAACCTCACCATTTGAAGCAGCTCATCTTTGTTGACAGCTGCATGCGAATTCCACACTTTTCCCAGTCAATATAAAGCTTAAAAAGGTTCTGATTACAAATACTTACAACAGTAATGTCTCTCACCTTTCTGCTCTGCCAGCCTTCCTTGTTGAATGACAAGAGCATCAAGTGCAAGCTTCTTGTAAGCTCTTTCAATGACCTTTTCTTCAATGGTATACTGTTTCATAATCAAATGCAATCAGAAACAACCCATACAAAATTGAAGAATATGACTGCATCACTAGATTGAATATCACCTCTGTGCAGAACCTAAACACTTGAACTTCTTTCTTTTGACCTATCCTATGAGCACGGTCTTGTGCTTGCAAATCAACTTGTGGATTCCTGCAGTACAACCATATACATTAACAACAAACAGAAAGGAAAGTAACAGCCAGGTTTGAATGACAAAAAGACCCACCAGTCACTGTCATACAAAATGACAACATCTGCGGTAGCGAGATTAATACCAAGCCCTCCAGCTCTTGTTGACAGCAAGAACACAAATTTCTCACTTCCAGGTTTGTTGAAGGCTTCAATGGAAGCATCACGATCTTCACCACCAGTATTACCATCAATTCGGCAATACAGATGCCCACGATACATTAAATAGTCCTCGAGAATGTCGAGCAACCTTGTCATCTGCACATCAAAGGCATAACCAGCATCAAATCAAATTACAGAGTCTTCAGAATAATGAACATGATAACCACTGACTTGTCGAGGACAGTTATAGGAAAACGAAGGAGATGATGAAAAATAGTGAGAATCCTAATACTAGTATTTGCAACTGACCTGAGAGAATATCAGAACTCTTGAATCTCTCTCTTTTAGCTTAGGAAGTAACTTGTCCAGGAGAACCATTTTGCCTAAACAAAGCAAACAGCAGTTAAATAGCCAACTTATGACCACACAAGATGACAAGAATGATAATTATATAACGATACTGATTAGGTGAAACTCACCAGCATTTTCTACAAGGTGATCCCCAGTGGTGTAAGGGGGGCCTGGTTCAGCACCCTGGAAAAGATATGGATGATTACAACATTTACGCAGCTGCATGGCTATGTTCAGAAGACGTTTACGTTCTCCACCAGCATTAACAACTTCTAGATCTTTCTGTAGTAACGCTTTATAGTATTGCTTCTGCATCTGGGACATGCCTACTTTCAATATCGTCTCCTTCTTAGGAGGTAGACCTTTCTCAACATCAGACTTCAATCTTCTAAGAAGAAAAGGGCGAAGGACCTTGAGAGAGAGCAGAGAACAAAGTTAGATAGATGGACAGATTTAGTAGACAGCATTAAATGGACATGTGCATACCTTGTGCAGTTGCTGCACAACCTCCTGCTGGTCATTCTCACCGGATATTTGGAACCACTCATCAAATGTTTCGGCTGAGCTAAAAATCTCTGGAAGTAAGAAGTTGAGTAGAGCCCAGAGTTCATGAAGATTGTTCTGTATTAAGAATATAGTCATAAAATTCAATTAGCAGAGGATTATAATTACATAAAAACAACTAAAAACAAGAGAGAAAAAGGTGCTTGCTAGGCTATATGTTTGATTTTACACAGAAATCAATATAGCTGCATAGCAATCATCATAATCTATAGCTGCATAACCAAACATGGTTTCAGGGACGTTACTGCACACCTGAAGAGGAGTCCCAGTGATGAGCAACCGGTAATTGGTATTGTAGAGTCTCATTGTCTTTGAAAGAAGAGAATTCTCATTCTTTATCCGATGAGCTTCATCAATAATTATGTAGCGCCAGCTGAAGCGCCGCAGAGCAGCCTTCTCTTTAATGGCCATTTCAAAGCTTGTGACACATATATCAAACTTACCAGCAACAAGTAAATCCTCTCGGATATGCCTCTGCATAAATAATTAAAACACGTTTAACTGTTTAAACCTTGATGCAGCAAATGCAAGTCCTCAGAAGATTGAGTTGATAAATTATGGCTTGACTTACTCTTTCTTCAGGATTTCCAAGGAACTTGATAGGACGTAACACTGGACAAAACCGACGAATTTCATTCATCCAATTTCCAAGTGTAGATTTGGGGGCAACTACCATATGAGGACCCGTGATCCCTCTAAACTCATGCAGGTACCCCAATAATGAGATGGTTTGTAAAGTCTTTCCAAGTCCCTAGAAAGATATGGCAACATCAGCATTGGTAATGAGTCAAACAGTACAACACCAACACAGTAGTGACCAGTTTGAAAGTCTGTCTTCGTGGCATACCATTTCATCTGCAAGGATTCCGTTTATGCCATTCTCATACAGCCTGATGAGCCAATTTAACCCAGCCAGTTGATAATCCCTCATCTTCCCTTGAATACCTAGAGAAACGAGTTACCAAGAGAATTATTCTATTGGCATACAGTCACGTTAAATCATCAAACTGCTCAAAACAAAAATGGAACCAAACTGATTGCAGGAAGGTGTTTATTTAGTGTTGGCATTGCCACAGACAGTGTTTCCTTGATAAGTAGCACATGCTTACCACACAGCTTTTGCACAAACAAAATATAGAAGGAACAAGAAATGCACTTACAAGAAGGTTGAGTCACCAGCCTCGTATTTCCTGCCATTCCATCCTCTTCCTCCTTCAAGTACTCTTCATCTTCTTCTTCTTCAGTAATTTTTGAAGCATGGCGCCCTCTGGAAAAATATATCAGTCATGCAGGGCCCGTTAACTTTCATAACTAATTAGGAGCAACCAACTACGACTAAAGGACTCACGCATTTAGCTAGTAAGCATTTCTAAGTTCTAACATGATAAATAGAGTCACCGTAAGGCAATTCAAATGTTGCCTACATCAAATTATATATGAAGAAACGGACAAGTACAAGCAGCAACTTTACTGTCCAGATTCTGATGGAATTATGACGACCCAAAAGATCACCAATTCAGAAACTATCTAATCCATTTCAAAAAATATTAGCTGACAAAATGTAGGAGACTTGTGTATAATGGGCACCATACTTTCCCTTGCCCTTTGGTGCAGTATGATCAGGCTTGGCGAAGTGAGCAAATAACTCTGTTTGCTGTAGTAGGTAGTTCAAGCGGCCCTTACCCCTAGTATTCTGCCAGAGTCAGAGTACACCAGAAAGATCAGTAAACCTGCACACTGGTTTTCCAAAGAAATGCACGAGTGCAGAAATCTCGGCCAACTCGACATACCATCTCAGCATCTATGCTAGCATTTTGTGCATCCAATATTTCCTGGATCTTTTCTTTCTTCAGCCGCTGCATCTCTTTCAGCCTAGCCTTTTCGCGCTTGCTAATTTGATTGTTGCTCATATCCTGTGTGAGATTGAACATCATAACATTAGGCGCAAACCAAGAAGAAGCACAACACCTTCACAGAAAACCCTACTCCTCCACTAGTTAGGCTGCCTACAGAACTTGAAGCGCAAATGAACAGATTCGCCGAGAACGAACAATACAGACAAACAAACATTTCCTCAATCAAAGCCGTCCGAACAGGAAAGCGAAAAAAATTGAACTATTCCGCTAACAAGACGCAATAGACTCACCTCTTCGGGCTCGTCAGTCTCCTCGGCGTTGTCATCATCGGCAGCTGCGCCGCCTCCGCCGGATTCGTCGTCTTCTGACTCGTCGGCACTGCGCGCCACCGCTTCGAGCTCCTCCTCGTCCTCCTCGTCGTTGATCTGGTCGTTGATTGGCTCCTCTTCGGACGAATTGGAGGCGTTGGACAGTGAATCGTCGTCCGAGGACTGCTGCTTCGACGGTCTCGCCATTCGATTACTTCTCCCCCTGTTGAAAATCGCGACTCCGATGGATCGAGGGTTTACTCCGCGAGAGCTCTTTCAGCTTGTGGAAAAAGAGAGAGAATGAGAGAACGTTTCGGAAAACAAATACGAAAGTGAGAGCAATAGCGAAGCGAGTCGTGATTCGTGAATTAGGATTTAGGGGAGCAGTGGAGGAATCTGTATATAAAGGGGAAGTTTCGGGCGGTTGGATCTGGGAAGGAATGATCCTACGGCGGTCAGTTGCGTTTCGGCCGGAAATGGAATTTCCCGCCTTTGGTGCATTTCCCGCCGATGTGAACCAATGGCCTACCGGCTAACCACTAAACGACCTCAAAAGACGCTACCAAACAGGCTCAGCCGTCCTCGAAGAATGGTCCATGAAACTGTATCGTACCGGGGTTCAACCACGAAATACCAGTATCAGATACTAAATTGGTAGACGGTATTTAACGGTCTAACGGTTGAACTACGGTTAAATCACGATTTTATCATAAAATATCATACCACTGGTTTTTCCGGTACGATATCCAATACGGTTTCATGGACCATGCCTCAGAAGCTAGAGAAGTGGAGCCGGCAGTGAGCTCGGTTGATTACGGTCTACGGATCTCGTTTTCATACTGATTCACGTTATATTTATACTAAGTTATGTCGAACATGTATTATGATAAACTTATTTTGCTAGTAATATAGTGCACTAAACATGATTCCTTATGCTTGTTTGTGGTTCTCATATAAAATTAACGAGTTTTACTTGGTCAATTTATACATCAAAATTGACGAATTTGTCATAAACTATACATCATCTTGATTGTTGAATCCAACAGTCATGCACATAGTAAAGGCATTGAAGTATTTTTGTGCCTGCATGTTTCATCTGATCATTCATTCCTATTTCTGTAAAACGATAGACTAGAGTAGGGCTGGGCAATGGGCGGATTGGGTGGATTTTGGTCTAAAATTGACTCACCCGCTTACTAGTGGGTTGGAATACATCTGACCCGCAATCCACCCACATTAGGGATGGCAATTTACCCACCCATGGGTAATTTTGCCCAAACCCAAGTAGACCCATTTATTATGAGTAGGGTTTGGGTGATGTGTGTATGGGTTTGGGGTTTGTATATGAGTTTGGGTTAGATATGCATATTATCTAAATGAGTATGGGTTGGATATGGATATCCATTTACTTGAGGGTGTTTTAACTACACATGCAAAAATTGGACTTATTTGTAAAACTTACAAAATTTAGGTACCAAAATGTAAGACCAAAAAAATTTAGGTACCAAATGTAATTTTCCATCGATATTTTGAGGACTTATATGCAAAAAAAATTACATTTAGGTACTAAATATGCATATTAAGTTTAGGTACCAAACTGTAATTTGTATTTGGACATGGGTACTAACCCAAATCCATTTGTTATAAACCCAACCCAACCCAAAGTAAATGGGTATGGGTACAAACCCATCAAACTTTACCCATATCCATATATTTGGATTTCATACCCAACCCAATTGGGTTGGATAGTAAAATACCCATGGGTATGAGCAAAATTGCCATCCCTAACCCACATACTTATGCAGGTTGGGTTGGGTGGGCGGCGGATGAGTGCGGTTGGGTTGTGGGTTAACCCGCAAAAACAATTCTCCAACTAGTCATTAAGAAAATTGACTAATATTTATAATAAATTCATAGCATATTAGTAAGATTGTATCAATAATTTGTGATTTTGATACAATTAATAATTTATAGTTTGTATCATATTATTTAATGGATATTAACAATAATTTGCATACCAATATCCAATATCCAATGGATATTGCACAATACAATAACCAATAATAATAGTCAAAACTATTCTTTATTCTCTACCTTTTGAAGTATATGGTCAGACTGTAGTGCAGTTCAAAAATATGATGAATATTTGATACTATAAGAAACAATATTTTCCATGTAAAAATAGGACGCGGGTCATACGGATGACCCGCAATCCACCCAAATAAGTGGGGGTGGGAGATTTAACAATCCGCAATCCACCCACATCAATCACCCACTGTATGCGGGTCGGGTTATTTGCGGGTGGATCGATATCAATCCGCGGATTAACCACCCAGGTGCCCACCCCTAGACTAGAGTATGTAAATAATGGCTTTATAATCTTTCCTTTTGTAGATAATTTTGTATGCGTGAGGCGAGAGAAAAAAAAAATCATGGCGTGTAATCAAGACTAACTTTCAAATCGGCTAACTAATAATCCAATTTTTTAGGGATTTCCTATGGTAACTTGAAGTAAGGTAACTTGAATTTTTTTACCTGCTATAGTAGGTTTCACAGGTTGCATTACGTAAAATACAATAGGTATTACGTAATAGTTACGTAACGTATGGTAACCTTACGTAACAGTTGTAAAGCACCATTACGTAAGCCTTACGTAATAGACGGTTATTTTACGTAATGAATACTAGCATTGCATTACGTAAAGTGTAAAGTCATTACGGAAGCTTTACGTAACGTTGTTGATTTAACTATTACGTAAGAAATAACTGTCGGATGTAACCCTTACGTAATGGAAGGTCCCTTTACGTAATGAGTATTGGTGTCGCGTTACGTAAAGAGCTAAGTCATTACGGAAGCCTTACGTAACGCTTCCATTTTAACTGTTACGTAAGAAATAACTATCATTCCGTAACCTTTACGTAATGGATGTGTATTTTACGTAACAGTTGTAAAAGATCGTTACGGAAGTCTTACGTAATGGAAGGTCCCTTTACGTAATGAGTATTAACGTGGCGTTACGTAAAGAGTTAAGTCATTACGTAAGTCTTACGTAACGCTTCCATTTTAACTGTTACGTAAGAAATAACTATCATTCCGTAACCTTTACGTAATGGATGTGTATTTTACGTAACAGTTGTAAAAGGTCGTTACGGAAGTCTTACGTAATGGAAAGTCACTTTACGTAATGAGTACTAACTACGTGTTACGTAAAGAGCTAAATCATTACGGAAGTCTTACACAACGTTTTCTATCTAACTATTGCGTACAAACATAACACAAACATTGCTCTATCCTATTGGACAAAATGCTAATCATTTCATAGTTGGTGTGCAGGCTCGATTCCCATTAGTGGCACATTTTACCTTTTATACATTTTCTTAACTTTAATAATAGTTTTATCAACTTAACTTTATAAATTAGTTTTATGAAGTTAATTTAACAATTTAGCCTCACTCTTTATTATACATTTTAGTTTGAATTATAATTTTGCCAAGCAAATTTAATGAGTTAGCTGAAATTGATGAATTAGTTTCTCATCACTAATTTTTAGCATTTTCAGTTGATGTTTAAAGAAAGTTCCTCTGAACCAAAAATTGTGGTTATGTTCCTGTTACATACTGTGAATTTAGCTTGAATGGTTGATATTATGATATTCTCTGATTTCTTATTTTCATTGTCATTAGCAATTACTTGGTTCTATTAGAGCGATATGGTTTATTTTTAATTTATCTATTTGATTGGTACATCCAACCGATATGATGTAATTTTACCAACATTATTTACTATCTTTGTCTCGATATCTTAGCTGGTTGTGTATTTTTCATGAACATGATATCTGTGTATAACGTATCTATCATTTGAACCTACTTGGTTTTATCGTCTTTAACTATAAATGGCTAACAAATGAACGTACAAAAACAAATTGATTGAGCGAAAGACATATTTGAGCTTGATGTGTGTGCTTGACCAGTTCGAGTGTTTTATGTCTAAACGAGCGAGTTGGTCGGTTTTGGATTGTATTAAGTGATTGTAAACTTAGAGTAAGCGAAGTCGTGAACTATTTCTTTCATTGATTAGAAGGCACGAGATCTCACTGACCGGATAACGAGTCAGGATCTTGGGGCGAAGCCCCCGGTTAGGAGCTGGGGGGGGGGGGTGCATTGTTCCAACCATGTATGCATGGCCTAATCTATTTTGAGTTAGAAGTCAAATTAATAATTTGGTTTGGTATATTTAAGGGATTCATCTCTATTAAGGGGTCGTTTGGATGGAGTATTTGTATGAGTTATTTGGGTTCAAATAACTCACAATGAGTTATTTGGACGCAAATAACTCGTTTGGCAGCGTTTTAGTGAAATGAGTTATTTGGACAGTGAGTTATTTACAAATAACTCAAAACGAGTTATTTGAAATAACTTATACTCATGTGTTATTTCGAAATAACTCGTTTTATCACTCTGCTTTTACCAAATACCACATGTCAAATACCACATTTGCATGGTTCAACCAAACGAGATACTTTATTTCAATTGCCACTAAAATAACACTGGAATACCACATGAGCAATAAATGAGTTATTTGACTCTACAAATACCACATTGATAATAAACCCATCCAAACGACCCCTAAGTGTTAAGGGTCATTTGGAAGTTGGGATTTCAAATGATGTATTTAGTCAATACACGTTAGAAATAAAATACATCATTTTTTGTTATAAAACGAACACAATACTTATATTTAAGAAAAAGATGAGACCACCAAAATCATTCATTATGGTTGTCCGACCGATCTGCTTAATTCTGAAATAGTTGATGGAAGCGCAAGGTTGTCAAACCGGTTTATACCTTTGTGCTTGTTTGACAAGTGCAATAGTACGACCGGTGGTATAACCAATTTTTGCCGGTTCATGGCGATTTTAGTTGCTAAGGGTTATAAAAATTTTCAGCTGGGTTCCAAATCAGGAGGGTGCTTCGATAAAGCTTCAGAAGAGCTAACTCGACTATCAACATCACTTCAGAAACTCAGTGACCAAAACAAGCCTTGCCCTGTGAGAAGGAAATATGGGGATGTGGGAGACCCAGACATAGTGAAAACAAAAGGAACAACACATGTTGATCGCAATGTTAAGAAGAAGGAGAGAAAGTGCAGCAAATGCGGTAAGCCTAAGCACAACAAAGCAAAATGTCCAGAAGCAGAAGGTATCCGTGTGTTCTTGCTCCAAAAGATTCAACTTCAATTTATGCTTCTTCAAGTGCAAGAGTGCACCAAATCCACTTTCTTCAATGGCCCTCTTTTTTCCATCACATAAATTGTCGATGAGCTCACAAAATTGGTGTACGCCACAACGGCTACTCAAATATACCTATGTCAATCAATCAATGCCAACCAATAATCAAATAAACAAATTTCCTATGAAATTAGAAATCAAGCAAATAAACTAATTTTTTACATTATATCAAAACAAAATCACCAAACTCAAAAGCTTAACCGTGAGTACAGTAGTCTTAAAAAGACCACTAGTTTTTAATGGATTACTTTTTTCTTTCTTTGTTGGTTTTCATCATTAAGTTTGGAAGAGACCCCTTCGTCGATCTTACTCATTTTGAAATGTACATAGCAGAAATTAAATTTAAACTTTAAAAAAACAAGTACGATGATGAGTAACAGCTCAAAAAAGGTTGTGTTACGTTTCATATTTAACATAAAGCTTGCAAATCCCCCTTCATGCTTACGTATAATTTGCAAAAGCTTTTTAGTTTCATTATTATAGTGATGATCCAAGTAAAGAAGTAATATGAGTAGAATTAACAGGAAAGGTTGATTAATTGGTTAGTAGTATAATGAATTCATCTCCAAAGTTTCTTCCCGATAATTTCAACAAAAAATTTGTTTGTGGCTCTTTGACCAGCTGTAATTAATGGCCTTCTCTACAATTTTAAATATTGCACAGACACCAACATACCAATTTATTTTAACAAGAAAGATTGATTATCAAGGGTGCTAAACCTGAACCCTAAAATGACACCAACATACCAAGCAATTACATGAGGGGAAGAACTGTAGGTTAATTTTATGGAAGAGGGAGCAGCGTAATTACCTTCCTAGTTCCCTTTACCGCAGTTTTTTCTTCCTTTTCTTTTTTATCTAGCATGTAGCGACGTCAGCCGAAGAGATTGAGCAAGCACCTTAAGGCTTCAGCGCCTAATAACTATCCAGCATGCAACCACAATTATCACCACGCTGCGGCTGCGATCTCAGGTACGTAAGCGCACGCCGGGAGGGAGCCTAGCCAGTCGATTTCCGACGAAGCTCGATAAACAAGGACCGTACAATCACGACGGTGGAAGCAAGTGCACGCTGGGAGTGATCCAAAGCAGGCGATTGTCGTCTACTTGATGAGCAAGGATACGTACAGCTACAACGGCGGCCGCAACGAAGATGAAGCTTGAGATTATTTAGACTCGGGACTGCAGATTAAGCAATAATAGGAGGAAAAAACCCTAAAGCCTTCGTGTGTGCTTATACGGGAACAATAAAACTAATTGAATAAGTGAGATGACCGGCAGCGCCGGTGACAAGTATTACGGATCTTTTTATGTTTTTTAATCCGAGGGTCTAAGTTTATTTTAGTATAATCTAACGGTGTAAATCTATATAAGTTACCTAACTTGAAATTATACCCCAGTTACCGTAGGAGATCCCAATTTTTTATGACGGCTAACTTGACAATTGTGCGAGAGAAATAAATGAAACGACAAGTCGTGTGCCCACAAATGGAGTATTTATGCTTGTGTTGAAATAAGAGACCGAGGTTCGAACATTGCTAATAACAAAAATGAGCGAGGGTATCTTTATCGATAGAGGCATTACGGTACCAGGTGACATTCGTAGGGGGGGAGGGGCATTACAAACAGTCTAATCAAGATCAACTAACTTTCAAATCGACTAATTAACAGTCAAAATAATCAAATATTCACATCGGCTAGCACGTACAGCTGTAAAGGGAAGATAATGAAGATAACCGAAACAACAAATTGTGTAACACTAGCAAGCAATTGGTTTTTTAGTTATGAAAAGGTAATTAATGTTCCGAGTTTTGCAAATGCCGAAATCCAATGTGGATTTCTCTCTTCATGCACATGTTATATGATTGTGCGAGAGAATTGTGCTTGTCGTGTGCCCACAAATGGAGTATTTATGCTTGTCGTGTTGAAATAAGAGACCGAGGTTCGAACATTGCTAATAACAAAAATGAGCGAGGGTATCTTTATCGATAGAGGCATTACGGTACCAGGTGACATTCGTAGGGGGGGGGGGCATTACAAACAGTCTAATCAAGATCAACTAACTTTCAAATCGACTAACTAACAATCAAAATAATCAAATATTCACATCGGCTAGCACGTACAGCTGTAAAGGGAAGATAATGAAGATAACCGAAACAACAAATTGTGTAACACTAGCAAGAAATTGGTTTCTCAGTTATGAAAAAGGTAACTAATGTTCCGAGTTTTGCAAATGCCTAAATCGAATGTGGATTTCTCTATTCATGCACATGTTATACGATTGTGCGAGAGAATTGTGCTTGTCGTGTGCCCACAAATGGAGTATTTATGCTTGTCGTGTTGAAATAAGAGACCGAGGTTCGAACATTGCTAATAACAAAAATGAGCGAGGGTATCTTTATCGATAGAGGCATTACGGTACCAGGTGACATTCGTAGGGGGGGATTACAAACAATCTAATCAAGATCAATTAACTTTTTAACTTTCAAATCGACTAACTAACAATCAAAATAATCAAATATTCACATCGGCTAGCACGTACAGTTGTGAAAGGAAGATAACCGAAACAACAAATCGTGTAACACTAGCAAGAAATTGGTTTTTTATACTTGTAAATGGTAAGATAATGAAGATAACCATAACAACAAATCGCGAAGGGAAGATAATGAAGATAATCAAATCCTTGTAAATGGTAAACCGTCTGAATAATTATGCCTTCCAAGGGACTACGTCGGGGAGATCCTCTCTCCCCTCCTTTTTATAATTGTAAGGAAGTTCTTTTTTTTTACGATCATGCAGGCAACTGCCATGGTTGCTTATAGGAGGTTTGTATTCAAGTTGCCCGTCCTATGGTTTCTCATATGTTATTTGTTGATGACTCATTTATTTTCCTGTCAGCCTCTCCAAAATCTTGCTTAACCCCTGTATAACAGTTGCATACCTATGAACGGTTAAGCAGACAGCGCACAGCGGGTCAATCGTGCTAAGCCTTTTGTGCTCCGTCTTTAAAAGTTGACAGTCTGTATGTAGTGCAGTTATAAAATTTATTACATAGAAATTTACCGATGGTGCTAACCCAATATTTATAAATGGCTTGCCATAGGAGAGGAGAATCTAACGTCCATAGTTTAGATGCTAAAGGAATACCGTGAAGTCTACCGTTTGGAAATAGTGCCAAAAGTTGATAGAACAAAACCGAAAGAGCATCGCAAAAGAATATCCAAATCACTTCACACAGAGAGTCTCAGTCTACCACACGTTAACGCTGATAAACCCAACAACGACGTCAATCTATAAACATGATGTACAAAAACGAGCATTTTTTGGTTTTTTTCTCATGGCATATTGATTTCCCACACGCCATTTTTTGGCTTACATATCTACTTCCACTCCCTCAAGGAAACAAATCAACAACTGCCTTCTTCCATTCCATGGGATGTCGCCTGGAAAGTATCGAGAAGGTAAACAAGCAACAAAAAATTATCTATCAAGTATGTCTTCAATCCACGTTGTCGCCCGGCCTGAACCAAACTCCCGTGATTGCTGTATTGGAAGCAACAGATAAATTGTCTAACGAATAACATGTTATCCGATGAAGATAATACGTGATGTTAAGATAGCTGTAGATGATATTCGTTGTGAGTTAGTAGGCGATATGAGTTACGTGAGATTCGAGTCGGTTTTAAATGAGTCGAATAGACGAATGACAATGCATTACAATGGAAAATATCATTATTTTGATTTTAAAAAAGTTATTACAAAAAGGATGATTTATATAGGCCGATTATCTATCGGATTGACTTAATCCAACCCGAAGCAGTTAAAATCGGGATTTTACCTAAAATCAAAAAGTGGGATAAAATCGAATCGTAGGATTTTAAGTACCATATAGAAATTAACATATAATAATATTAATAAGGTAAATAATTAATAACACAAAGACTTATAACATTTAAAGTGATAATTTTCAAGATTAATGTTCCAAAATCATCATTTTAATTGTTATTTAATGTGTAACTCAAAATAATTTATGAGGAATAGATAGAGTTCATGGGGTTTGACTCTTTTTTTCATGTTGTGTATAGATAGTTTAACTCAAAGTAGTATTCCGACATCGTCTACTAATTAAGCATGATTTAAAACTAAGAATATGTGAACTCCAATAAAATAATTAATGTCATTGGTTAGGTACAAATATATTCATTAATCAAATAATTTGTTAATAATGATGTTAATTCTTACGTACTTACAATATTCTGACAATTGTTTTACCGATGAGTTAACAAGGAGAAGGGAAATGGGTTATTAGTTTTTTTTTTTCTTTTTAAATGTTCTTTTAATAGGAAAAATATATGAGAAGATACCCGTCAATGCCCTTTCCACCGAAACAGTTCTGCTTCTTTTGAATTTGCTCAAGCTCCCTATTTTGTTTACATAGGATCAAAATCCTGATTTTGGTACGATTTTAACCCCGATTCTGAACTATTTTATAGCAAAATCAGGATAGGAATCCTTAAGTAAAATCCTAAAATTCTACGATTTTACGATCAAAATCTCGATTTTGAGTTTTGACTGCATTGATCTAGCCCAACTAGCCTCTTCTACATGGGTTTACCGACTTATAAAATAATTGTAAAAACATATGAATTTCACGATATTTAAGTGAAGTGGGGATTCTGATACTGCTTATTTTCGTTGTTAGGTGAACTTTAGGCCGAAACAGAACGTCATTGTATTTCTATTTGATGATCGAGGCAACAAAGTTTCAAATGTTAATAAAATGTATGATCTAGTTATCTCGTTTTATAAGAAGTTATTGGGGTAGGTGAATCACGATGTATTGATTGTGTATGAGGGATAGATTAAGGTAGTGTTTTTCTGCTTTTAGGGTGAACAGAGTCCAGACTTTGATGGTTACCCAACTTTTTTCCCAAGCTACTTGGAATTTTTTTTTGGTTCCGAATTAATTACAACGTGATATTGAATATCGCTTCTAGGAGATTTCCTTATCACACGAGGTAAATTATGTAATTTTAGCCCTTATTCCACCGAAACAGTTCTGCTTCTTTTGAATTTGCTCAAGCTCCCTATTTTGTTTACATAGGATCAAAATCCTGATTTTGGTACGATTTTAATCCCGATTCTGAACTATTTTATAGCAAAATCAGGATAGGAATCCTTAAGTAAAATCCTAAAATTCTACGATTTTACGATCAAAATCTCGATTTTGAGTTTTGACTGCATTGATCTAGCCCAACTAGCCTCTTCTACATGGGTTTACCGACTTATAAAATAATTGTAAAAAACATATGAATTTCACGATATTTAAGTGAAGTGGGGATTCTGATACTGCTTATTTTCGTTGTTAGGTGAACTTTAGGCCGAAACAGAACGTCATTGTATTTCTATTTGATGATCGAGGCAACAAAGTTTCAAATGTTAATAAAATGTATGATCTAGTTATCTCGTTTTATAAGAAGTTATTGGGGTAGGTGAATCACGATGTATTGATTGTGTATGAGGGATAGATTAAGGTAGTGTTTTTCTGCTTTTAGGGTGAACAGAGTCCAGACTTTGATGGTTACCCAACTTTTTTCCCAAGCTACTTGGAATTTTTTTTTGGTTCCGAATTAATTACAACGTGATATTGAATATCGCTTCTAGGAGATTTCCTTATCACACGAGGTAAATTATGTAATTTTAGCCCTTATTCCAAACTTCCAAACTCTGGAGATATGACAAACTTTTCACCCTATTTCATGCTTGTATTGGAAGACTTTTATGAAATTTATGTGAGTTGAGTGTGGAAAGAAAAATGTAAAAAAATATACGCAGAATCTAAGTAGAGATTATGATAAATTTTTTTACTCTCATAAAGATTGAGATAATGTAGTCATGAATGAGTTAGTTGCTAATTTTTTTATTTTCTAGTATGATACAGCTTTGTTGTTGTTTTTTAGTTAGTTTAGACTAGTAATATTCTTGTACTCAATTGGTAGTAATGTTGCGAATACGTTCTTTCTAATTATAATACACAACCCCACATTCACTATAAATATTTACAAATTCTTACAAGTTAATAATTTAAACCCAATAATGTTAGGAAATTAAAATATAAATTATATACAACAAATTATAGAAAACAAAATTCCAATCTCACCCCTAATTTAATTGAACATAACAAGAAAACATTTACCACCAATAGAAGAATTCAATTGAAATTCATAAAAAAAAAAGAATTCAATTGAAACGTTTTTTGGCTTGCTATTTTGCAGAAACAAGCTGTCACACCCGTACCCAGAATTTTAGGGAATTCCTAAATTACCCCTATCATAAGTTATTAAACCTAAACGAATATAATTATTGATCCTAACCTAAATTCAAAGGGGAGCAGCCGCTCACCCCACAAGCTTCTTAATCCTCCAACTATAAATATATAGCTACACAAAACCTAGAAGGAGGGAGCCGCAAATTAAAACCCCATTCTTTTCCTCCGCACAAGACACAGCCACCATCACGTGAGCTCCCGCCGACTAGAACACATCACCACCGTCGAACCTCCTCATCCCTTCGGCCAAGACACCACCACCGGGAGAAGCGACCGGCTAATGGAAGAAGCGGCTGGATAACCAGAACGAAGGATCGCACGATCTCTCCCGCCGCGAGCCACTGCCAAATCCCACAGCTCCGATCCGTTCTTGGAGCTCTAATAGCAACGACAAGGTTGCGGAGGACGCAAACAACCATCGATCAGGAAGTCACGTATTAGAGGTAATGGATTTGTCCTCGTCCATTTTATTGTAGACTCGGTGATAATTGGAGACGGTGGTAGTTGCAGTAGGTCATTATTTAAAGGGACGAGCTACGAATGCTTATATATATATGGACGAGTGCAATGGATATATATAGTGATGGATTAGTAACTAAGTTTGGTTACGTGGATGATATGCATGGCAGTTTAATTATATTAAGGGGGTTGAATTAATGAAATCGGAAATGGATTTATTGATGTAAAGCAAGTATACGGGTGAATAATCAGGAGAGTTGTGCGTGTTCTATCCCTAGGAGAAAGGTGAAGGAAGAAGGAAAACTGTGCGTACAAGGCCTATAAGTACGTTTGGGATCATCAAAGCGGGACATAAGTTAATAATCGACTTGAAATTAAGGTGCGTGGTTAAAGGGGGCTAGAGTAGTTTTCGTTATCAGTATATGCATTTAAGTTCATGTTATGCATTTCAGTTCTTGCTTTAGTTCATTCCATCCTTATATGCTTTCATATTAAGTTAATTTGTTTACGTTCAGTCTTTATGTTTATGTATGCATAGCATCATGAAGCATATGTAAACTACGTTATGAGTTAAGCAAATACAAGTCCAATTATAAGCTAATTAAGTTCAAGTTAATAAGCTTGTATCTTCCCATTGTGCGGGAGATCACCTAATTAAGCTCAAACTTCTCAAGTCAAGTAAGCAAGTACAAGATTAAGTATGTCTCTCCATGGAGTGAGAGGTTGTTCAAGCAAGTACGTATAAGATATCAAGTCATTAAGTAAGAATAAGAACCCTCCCTTAACTAGTCGCACACGGTCACCTTACTCCTTGTAGATGAGGAGCACCTTGTAGATGAGGGGTCATGATATGTATGTCACGATCGGTGCCGGACGCGGTCACCACTACTCCCTGTAGATGGGGAGGTATGCTATGTTACTCCTTGTAGATGAGGAGGTTATGTTCATGATACGTTGGTGCCGGACGGATGTGCTAGTTAGGTCGAGGGCGGGATCCCATATCAAGTTAAGTAAGAAGAAAAGATTATAAGCAAGAATATGTTAATAATAAGATCCTTCTACTAATGTACCCAATAAAATACCATAAGCATTGCATGTGCATCTCGATTTTTGTATGATAACGAAATTAGGACTAGGACTGACCCCATCGCCCGCACTCAGGAGCTGCAAGGAAGCGGAAGTAATCGATCACTCGTGAGAAGGAAGCTGCTGCTGAAAATGTCATCTTCACAAGGGTTAGTGATAACAGAAGTTTTCAAGTGAACCCTTTTCACTTACGTACTTTTATTAGTAGGCTTGAGACTGATGCTCATTTATGATTTGTTAAGAGGGATTTTCCTACGGTGATTTAGAAATTATTTTTCTGTATTATTTCCATTTTGAGTGATCTTGATTACTTAAGGGCATTTTGGTAAATTTAGTGCTCGGCCGAGCTAGGGTGTTACATAAGCCACCGAATCACACGCCGCCGATACTTGTCAAAAAAAAAAAATCACACGCCGCAGTTTATCCGCAAAAATGAAAAACCATAATTGAGATTGCTGTCCGGCTGTCCCACCCCAAACAACGAAATACCGAAACTGCCACCAGGCAATCTCCAAAATACCGACAGGTCGGCAAACTGGAATTCGGTTGAAAATCCCCAGAAGAAGGGGCAATATAGGGAATCAACAAAACTCATTATTATTTATTTGTTTTATTCTAATTTATTCTTCCTGGTCTGCTTGCCCCATCCAATCCAATCTCAATCACTACGATGGGAACTTCTCCTTAGCTTCATCCGTAATATAAAGAGTACCAATCCGAGTTCTCCGCCGCTTCATCGATCGGAGTTTCTATCCCTCGCCGGCGGACGGTAACCCTAACTCAGGTCGAGGAACTGCTCTGCGGTTCATCGTCAGAGATTGACCCGGCTTCTCGTTCGGGTTGACTGGAAGAGAATGGAGGGGAAGAGATGGTTCTTGGTGGGAATGTTGATAGCTCTACTTGCGTCTACGTCTTGTGGCAGAGGTAATGGTGGATGATGAACGGTTTTTAGGTTACAGAATTTTGTTTTCCCAGTTTGTTACTGGTAGGTGGTGAGCAAACCAACACAAGTTCTTGAGCTTCCAGAACTCTTGTTGGGGGGTTTCTCAAGTTGGCGTGGAGTTGGGGAGGATTAATGAGACTTGGAATTTGAATTTGGGTTGTAGTTGGGTTGAAGAGTTCTGATATCCTATGGCAAGGATTCCTATGATTTTGACTGATTGTTGTTTTTGCTATTCGGGTTTTGCCAGAGCTGAAGATAAGGGAATACGGTGACGAGGGGGATGATCGGTCTCTGGTTTACAATCACACCCTCGCCATGACGTTGGTGGAGTATGCCTCCGCAGTACGTTGAAACGATTGATTGGAGTTTCTGGGTTTCGCTGCAATTGCTAGAGCCTTGATGGCTTCATTATGTTATCCTGTTCTTTATTGAGAGTATGCTAAGTTGTATGGAGATTGACTGGTGTTCGTTTATGTAGGTGTATGTCTCAGACATGACTGAGCTATTTACTTGGACATGTTCAAGATGCAATGGCTTAACAAAGGTAAAGCTTGATTTCTCATGTATCTGGATTCTCTTGCCAATGGTATTGGCTAACACCTTGTTGATTGGAACCAACCAGGGCTTTCAGGTTGTGGAGCTGATCTTTGATGTGCAACACTGCTTAGAGGTGTGCAAGTCATGTTCCTTTGTTGTTCACGAAATTCTTTTGAAGCACAAACAATTGTGTTGATTTGTCCTGATGGTGATGGCTGACTTTTTATGTGGCTGTTCTCTTCAAGGCATATGTTGGAGTTGCTCAGGATCTTAATGCTATAGTTATTGCCTTCCGAGGAACTCAGGAACACAGGCATGTATCTTCTATTTGTTATTATTCATACTAGGGTTCATAGTATTTGTCTATTTCTTGCTGCAATCGCATCTTCAAAGCTTGTCGTTCAGCTAATATGTAGTGAAGAAGACTCATTTATGTCAGCACGAAAAGTGTTATTGCAGTGAGCAGTATAATTGAATTTGATTTTGATGTATATTTATCTAAAGAGGGGAGTTTGTATTTATGGTCTTGTATGTGGATTAATGCCACTCTTTTTCTCCCTCTAGATCATGAGTATGTCTCGTTACCTAGTATGCAACTACCTTACTGTTGCTTATGTCCTGTGATCTGCCTGATGCCTTGTTTGTGCAGATTGGTTATCTGTTTTTGTTTCTTTCTGTAAATTGCTCGATGAGCGATTATGCGTGTTGTTTAATTTTGTTGGCGAACTGGATCCTTGCAGCTTACAGAATTGGATTTCAGACCTCTTCTGGAAACAGCTTGATTTAGATTATCCTGGAATGCCTGATGCGATGGTGTGTGGCCGATCAATTTTCTTGAATTAGTTTTATAACAGTAGCTGCTATTTTCTGTTTCTTAAAGTCTTTATTGGAATCCAGGTGCATCATGGATTCTATTCTGCATATCACAACACAACTATACGGTCCGGAATTCTGAATGCCATTAAAAAAGCAAAGCAGTATTATGGGAAGCTTGACATCATGTTGACCGGGCATTCTATGGGTGGAGCCATTGCTGCGTTCTGTGCACTTGATCTAGTAGTAAGTAGTTATTTACCCACCTTTTTACTGTAGGGATGTTGGTTTGGTATGTCCAAGGCTCACCTAAAGAACACAACCTGTAAATTTTCTAGGTCAACTGTGAAGCCGAGAATGTCCAGTTGATGACGTTTGGACAACCCCGCGTGGGCAATGCAGTTTTTGCAACTTACTACAAGGAGCTTGTGCCTAATGCAATCAGAGTCGTAAATGAACGTGATATTGTACCTCATTTGCCCCCATACTACTCTATATTCCCAACGAAGACATATCATCACTTTTCCAGAGAGGTAATCATACTTGATGTAATGCTATAATATCTATTTTCCATGTAGCGACTGCAAGGGTAAGCACTAAGCACCCTGTCTTTAATGCGCAGGTGTGGCTGTATAACCTTGGATTGGGAAGTCTTGTTTATACAGTCGAGAAGGTTTGTGATGACTCCGGTGAAGATCCTACTTGTAGCAGGTAGCCCTGCCTCAGAAGATAACTTTTCTGTGAACCTACTTACAATCCGGATCTCGACCAGCTGCACCTTGCAATTGCTGACTTGTTTCACTCATGTTTTATTTGCAGATCGGTGTTGTGGACTAGTATTTCAGACCATTTGTCCTACTATGGCGTCGATTTATGTGGAGACGTAGACTTGTCTTGTGGAATTGTGATGGCGCCTGCTCTGAAGGAGTTTAGCACCACAGATCTGAAGGGCAACTTCGTACTTTCAAGAGTTCCTGCCTCCTCTATACTGAAGATGAAAACCGAAGAAACCGTGACACGCAATCATTCCTTGTAGCTTTCGACAATGGCCGATTGTGGTTTCTCTCCCGAGGTAAGTGTAGTGTTTAGTCGCTTGTTACTTGGTGAAGAAGGAATTTGTAATCTTGTACATAGATGATGCTTATAGTAGGAAAATATATGTCCCAGTCCCACTCTCCCTAGCCAAAACTTGGGAAATAGCCTTTGTAATTAGTAATTACATATATGTGTACAGTTTGTAATCTGACGTTATTAAACCCTATTCTCTTCATTGGTCTATTCGATGTGAATTTGCATAACCTGTAATCACCTACTGTTCAAACCTCTAATCCATTCCTTCATTCTAAATATTCAAGAATGAACCGTGCTAACCGTAGATCTTAAGAAGCGCAACGAGATATTTCGTGCTTATCGACTTCTGATTGAAAATGTTGATTGTTGCCTGCATTCGAGCTGTAGAATCAAATAATTCAGGAGTCAAAAGCGTCTTAACTCTTAAGAATCATCGACGTAAATGGTGAAATACTCTAGTGCATAGTTACTAGTTAAGGGTTTGATAAGGTGGCCATAGGAAACAAAGATCAATCAAGCACATTGGCACTGAAAAAAAATGATTTGATCGTCATTGGAAATTGAATTCATCAATCAATTCAACACAAACAATCAAAATTGACGAGTTCCTTTTCACACTGCCTTGCCAATGCTTTCTTCCGCCGCCGACGAACTTTCCAACCCCACTTTCCGATCATCACAATTCTGCAGCTGCTGCTTCGTGTCCGGAGGTTCAGACTCAACGACGACAACGGCGGCGGACGCACCTTCCCCTGCTATCTCTCCCCCATCTTCAGCCCGAACGCTGCATTTGTTCATCGAATCCTCCGTCCCGGCCGACTCGGTCCGCGGTGATCCGTACTCCGAGTCGCCGCCATCCGATTTCGATTCGCTAACGATGGCGGCGATGCGCTCCACGTCCTTGTGCGACGAGAAGAACTGGGGTGATTCTCGAGATATCAACTTCCCCGGCTCTGCTTCTTCCTTCGCCACCGCATTGACGTTACTATCGTTTGATGAGTTTTCTTTCGGCGGCGGCGGCGGCATTTCCTCTTCTCGGCTGTCTCCTGCACCGCTGCTCTTCTTGATGGACGATTTCTTTCGGGCCACGGCGGTGGGAGCGCCGGCCGTGGCGACGGCGTGTTTCGATTTCCCGCAACCCATCTGGTACCCCGGGCGGCGGGATTGCAGCAAAAGCTCTCTTCTTCCGATCTTAATTATTGATTTTGGTTTTAAACAAAGGAGATCATGGTTGTTAATCGCGATTATGCGCACACGGCGATTGGATTAGTTTTTAGTTTTTTCAATTGATTTAGGTTTTTTGGACAATAGGAGCGGTTTTTTCTGTTACGAGGCTGTGTGCGTGTTTTTTTAAATTTTGGCCCAAATCACGGTGGGCTATTTCTAGGCATTTATTGCTGGATATCTGGAAATATATTCGCAACCGTAAAAAATAAAATAAATATTTTATTTCCCATAAAAAGAAATCTTCCTATATATTATAATTGTTCAAAAACAACTTCTTACCACATAAACACTTAGAGAATTCACAAGTTGCAAAGGTGGACAATGTTTTTTTACAAGCAAAAAAGTTAGTTAATGAGTTATTTATGGAGTTATCTCTCTCTTTTTTTAATGGTGTTTTCTTTTATTCAATAATTCTTTTTTTTGTATTATATTTATGTTTGTAGAAAAAGGCTAATGTTTGTAGAGTGATATATCACATTTGTTTAAACAAAAAATATCTTATTAAATTTTATAAGCAAAATTTCTACTAATTTTAAACAAATACACACGTAAACAATAATATTTTCATCGATTAAACAAAATATAATGATGGAAATAAAGAAAATAATTGTAAGAAAATCAATCAACTTTCATTAAAGAACTATGTTATTTTATATTTTTGGCTATTAAACACTCTCTTATTTAGAGATGACAACCAAATCCATGGTCGCAAGTGCACAACCGTCTCCGACCTAGTCAATGCGGGGAATCTTCTCATTGATTGGGTATGGGTAAAACACGCAAATTTTTTGATGGAGATGGGCAGATATGGTTTTGAAATCCCCCGCACCATACCCATACCCAAACCCGCCCCGCCGAGGATAGAAACAAATATAATTGATGGCAACCAAATCATAATTTCATCCACTTATGTATAAGTTCCATACTTTTCGGCAGGTAGTACCAAAATTTTGTACATATTTTTTATATGGTGAGTAGCTTATGGGGCGGGTATTACCCATGGGTATCCGAAAACCGCGGGTATGGAGATGAGTTTGTAAAACCTTCCACCGTATGGGTATGCGGTAGGTAAGAGTTTAGGTATTTGAAAATGGGAATGAGAATGAGGATGGTTTAGGCAAACCCGACCCATTGCCATCCTTACTCTTATTTCTAATTAATATATCTATAAAATAAAACAAGTATTATATAGTAAAAGTTTTGGATAGAAACTTAATGATGTACAAGTATTATATGGCACGTGTGAATGTTAGAGAAATCTTTGTTGACGATGTACGATAAACATTATGTTTCATCAACCACTAATCAAACATGGGTTGACAATTTTCATTTGATAGTTGAATGTCTTCTACATTACAAGCCTTTATAGTTAGAAGACTCTAAATCGAGCTATTATGTTAAAAATGAAGAATCTTTATAAGCATGAGATCAATGCAATTCTAATAAGTCATTTGGTTGCATGGTTTTGAGTATGTGACTCCATGTGCTGAGGGTTAGTACAAATTTCAAGAATTAGCAATTGGTACATATTGAGTAAATAAAATTTAAAAGCTATACCTTTCAGAATTTTCAAAATTTTAACCAAATATTTTGTATCGTGTCAAAATATTAATCATTTCTCTTTTATTTTTAATAATTTTGTAAATCTTCTCTTAATTAAAATACTAAAATTTTGAATATTGATTGTCACGTGTCTCCTCCAACTCATCATCATGTTGTTGAGTCAATATTACTAACAAAAATGCTAATGGGGAGTTAACGTTTGGCTAATACTTTGTATTTTGAAAGGTATGGTTGATAATTTTAAAAGTTTGAAAGATTTGATTAATATATTGTATAAGATACTAAATTTGAGTGTCTTGATAGACAAATTTTGACATAAGATCCTCTGCAGAGACTTAATGAACATTCACATAAACATGTGTCAACATTAGATAAGTTGATTATAATAAGGGGTACGGTATGTGTCAAGTTTCACTTGGATAAACACAATTTATCGAGTAATCAAGTATCTTTATCCAATAATATGGACTCTTAATAATTGTTTGAGAGTTTGTCCTTACTCGAGAATCACGAAATTTTAGATGTTTTATAAGATTATAAATTTGAATGGTTTGGTTGACAAAATTTTGTATACTATTGTAAATGTGACGGGATAAACCTTTAAAATATGATTTATTATTAGAGAATCGAAACCTATGAAGATCATAGGTGAGTGTGCTAAATATTGAGAATTTTTAATATGAACATATAGCATACTCACTTATGAAGCATGAGCATAAAAAAGTTAGAAGATTAAAAAAATTTTATACATGTAGATAAATTAATTTATATAAATGATAAAATGAAATTTTCAGGCCAACCGGCCGGGTAAAAAATTAGTTATTATATTATTCCAGTTACAAGTGCATTATAGTTATAGAGAACACAACCATAAATATTTTACTAGTTTTTTTGGCGGGATGTTTTTTTTGTTTTCATTTTCTCAATAGTAGGATACTATTTTTCTTTATATATGCTTATTAAGATTATTTATTGTTCAAACATTATCTAATAGGAGGGTCGCTATATTTATTTTGAGTGTGAATAGGAGCAATTATCGTGTAAACAATAAGAGTCACTACTTTATCACCATTTTGAAGTCCACATTCACGATCATCTGCTCTTTGATTGACAACAGTTTTCAACTTCATATGTTGTACATAATTTTTCATTGATTTTGCCTTTCGTGCATCCATATGTTTGGGGTAAATACTGTTAGCGTCTAACATATCTTTCAGTCTCGTGATACGAATTCACGCAAATAATTCAAATCATCATATGTAATGATCGAATGGGGGCTATTTCAGTATATTTCTCCAATTAATAAATGTATAGCTGAACAAACTTAGTAGTTGAACATTTTGGTGGTAGTATACTGCTCAATCGATGGTAAATTGGTCCATGATTGATAGGTATAATTCATGTCCATCATTCAAATAATGATCTATTTTGCCGCTCATATAACTAATGTCAAAAGATACAATTGTTGTGCGTAGTTCTTTTTTTCATGATGTACTTTGTATTTTGAAATAAAATCAGCATGACACTAACATGTATTTGAGTGGGGTCTAAGAGTAAAAAATTCACATCTATGGTAAATAAGCACATAGGAAATAAACGTGGTTTAGATCAATGAAAGGGAGAGACTACTGCATATCATGAGCATTAGGGGTGGGCAACGGGACGGGACGGGATACCCGCCCCGTTTTAAACGGGTACCTAGTCCCATTTGGAGACCAAAGTCCATCTCATATCCCAAACCCATATGGGAAACGGGTACCCATTACCCGTACGGGACAGATAACGGGTACCCATACTACCCATAAATACCCAAAGTTTAAACCATTAAAATTTTAACAAAAGTTTAAACTTAACTTGTATTTGCTTAACAATCACAAGACACAAAATACATCCCAATCACAAATACTTGGTTTGCAAATTACACATTCATAAACAATCACAACACATAGAAATAAATCATTCCAAGCACCAAATTATCAAAAAAGAAGTTTCATTCAACACAACCAATTGGGAGGCATGCTGCTACTTTCTGCAAGCTGCTGCTGCAGTTCTGCCTTCTCCAAGCTGCTGCTGATGCCATTCTCCCTTCTGCGGGCTGCTGCTGCCATTCTCCCTTCTGCAGCTGCAACTGTCCTTCACTTGCTGCTGTCCTGCAAAGAAGAATAATTAGGAGCAATTTGGGATGATCCAAGTTCCTTAATTAAGTACACAATGACCCCAGACTGTAAATGGACACTCGTTGCCTCATTTCAAACACATCCCAACTCTCTACTAATTCACCAAACATGTCAGTGAAAGAGTGAAAGGGTAAGGGCCCAAATGGAATTGAAATTGAAATGGTAAGGGTAAGGGTCGAAATGGCCAATGGGTTTTAAATTGGGCTGGGTTGAATTAAATTTCTACATTTGTATTGAATGGGTATAATGGGTACCCATATTACCCAAACGGGTATTCGCGGGTAACCCGCGGGTACCCATATTAGGAATGTACAATCCCAAGTCCCATCCGTTTATAATATTACGGGTAATATGGG